AAGGTCAACTCAAATTCCTCTTGGTGGCAATCTACTACTTCATCAAGTGGATCGAAGCGTGCCCACTCGCCAAGATCACCACTGAGAATATACGGAAGTTCACCTGGAAGAGCATCATATGCAGGTTCAGAATTCCACATTCCCTTGTCACCGATAACAGCCGATAATTCATCACGCAAAGCTTCGAAGACTTCCTTCGGGAACTTGGAATTAAGTACCTCCCGACCTCGGTGGAACACCCGCAAACTAATGGCCAAGCCGAAGCTGCAAAAAAAGTGGTACTCCGAGAGCTCAAGAAGCGACTAGGGAACGCCAAGGGACAATGGGCTGAGGAACTTCCCAGCATCCTCTGGGAATACCATTGCACCCCCTAGTCAACAACATAGGAAACGCCTTACAGGCTGACTTATGGAACTGACGCCATGATCCCAGTGGAAGTCGGGGAGACATCTCACCGACGTCAAGTCTTTAACAGCGAGCAAAACTCTCAAGAAATAGCAGCTGACCTTGACTTGATTGACGAGCTCAAAGACGAAGCTCGGATTCATGAAGAAGCCTGCAAACTCCGAGCTTCTAGAAGATACAATACGGGAGTACGACCTCGCTCTTTCCGAGTTGGTGACCTGGTATGGCGACTATTAGGCGAAGCACGGAGAGACACATCAGACGGCAAGCTTGCACCCACTTGGAGTGGCCCATTTCGAGTTGTAGAAGACTTTGACATTCCGAGTTGTAGAAGACTTGGAGAACGGGGCATACCGACTGGAATAACTCATCGGAAAACCCATCCCGCAAACTTGGAATGTCACGCATCTTAAGTTTTATTTCAGTTAAATTTGTATGAATGAGTTGTGCACTCTTTTCCCGCCTCAGTCTTTTGTCCCAAAAAATAGAAAAAATGGGTTTTGGCTGAGAGGGTTTTTAACGAGGCACACATAACATCAATAAAATAACTCATTCTTTCCCATTCATATCTTCTTAATTCTGCATCATTTCACCATAAGATACTTTATGCTAAACCAAGGTCGAGTTCGAACCTTGGTACGATTTATTTCACTCTAACCAGAGGTCGAGTTCGAACCTTATTATGAATTATCTTACCTTCCGCCGAGGTCGAATTCGAACCTCAACAAGGAAGCACCAGAGGTCGAGTTCGAACCTTATTACGAATTATCTTACCTTCCGCCGAGGTCGAGTTCGAACCTTAACAAGGAAGCACCAGAGGTCGAGTTCGAACCTTATTACGAATTATCTTACCTTCCGCCGAGGTCGAGTTCAAACCTTAACAAGGAAGCACCAGAGGTCGAGTTCAAACCTTATTACGAATTATCTTACCTTTCGCCGAGGTCGAAGTTCGAACCTTAAAAAGGAAACCCAACCCGAGGTCAAATACGAATCTCGACACACATTATTTTTATCTCACATAGAGGTCGAGTTTGAATCTCGAGCTCTATCTCGCCAAGGGTCGAGTTCGAACCTCAATACGAATTATTTACGTCAGGCCAAGTTTGAGCCCCGGAAAAGCACAAAAAACACAAGTGCATAAGCAGAAGGTCAAATAGAACCACTGAAAACGCGAGGATAAAATCTCGAAAGAAAAAATATTATATACACCACAATGTTTGCAAAGTTCAACACTTGAATCCAAAGAAAAAATCAAGCAGAACAAAATAAACTAAACTATTACAAAACCGGCCTAGGTAGAGGCATTTTCGCTCGAGCTATCCTGGAGGTCGTCCTCTTTCACCAGCTTCCCGAAGCGCACCTCTTTCTCCACATGCATGGCAGAGAGGTCGACCCCCGACGCAAGTAGCCTTGCCTGGGGAGCTGCCTTGAGGAATCCCCTCTTGTGCTCGAACAGGACAGCTCGCTCAGTTCCCTCGAGCTTCTTCTCCAACTCTACCTTCTTCGTAGCCATCTTCGAGAGGTCCACCCTGAGTGCGGCGACCTCCTCTTCTTTCCCACCGAGAAGAACCTCGTCACAAAGACGCTTCTTAGCCGCCACCACGAGATCAACCTTTAGGGAAGTTACCTCATCTTCTAAGGCACGCACCCGGCCTTGGAAAGAATTGGCGAGCTCCTGCAGCTCACTCACTTGGGCAGCGTGAGTCTCATTGGACCTCAGAGCAATCTCTAAGGACTTCTGAACTCTCTCCATCGCCCTCCTGTTTTCTTGGAGCTCGGCCTCATTCTGCAGCTTACTTAGCATCCCCGAGAGCGCCTGCCAAGGCCCGGTTCTCCTCCTTCAAGGCCTTGTTCTCTTCCCTCAAAGGCTGGACTCGTCCCTTCAGCTTCGCCAGGTCCTCCTGTTGCTTAGACCACTTATGCTTCTAGTGGTCCACGATGGCCATAGTCCTCTACAGGAAGACCTCAGCAGAATCAAGGCCTTCCACTAGCCCGACCGTCTCGATCATGGCTTGATCAGCCAAACTCAGCGACTCCTTGGAGAAGAACTTCTCTAAGGTCACCCCCGCGCTCCACAGAGAATCTATGTCCTCCGAAGCACTCACATGATCCAGCCGCGCCCGAGAACGATCCTTCCCGAAGCGATCGGCGAGGTATTGGCTTCTGGGGGGCCCCTTCGACGAGCCAGACGGCGGCGCCGAGGTCGCGGGAGTAGGTGTCGGGACCCCGAAGCTCGGCCCCTTTCCGCGGGCCTCGGCAGAAGCAGAGGCAGGCGCCTCCTGCTCAACCACGGGGGCACCCGCCCCTGGTACCTCCGAACCCGAAGCCACCTGGACCCCGGCAACATTCCCTGCCTGCAAAAGACAAAACTTTATTCTTAAGACAAAACTCAAGAAAAAGGGAGCATAGAAGATAAACCAAAAAGCAAGGCACCCACCTTAGTGGCCTGGGCAACCTGCTCGGCGGCCTGAGCTACCTCCTCGACAGTCGCTTGGGGAGCTCCCTCGGGTGGAGAACTCCCAGTAAGGTCGACCGCATCGGCGTCAGCAGCCTTGGAGGTCACCTCCTCAGCATCTCGAGGGGCAGAGGTCCCCCCGACCTCTTCCTCTCCCCTCTTTCTTTTTCTTTGGGTCTCTAAGGGGGCCACCTCCTCCTCTTGAGGCTCGGGGACCTTAATCTCGGCGACATTGTAGCGCAATTTCAACTCGCGCCACTTGTTTTTTCCTATTATACCTGCAAGTACAACAATCAGATACGTCAGTAAAAGCAAAAATTCCCAAGCCCTTAACAGCCAAAAAGACAAGATACTCACTCTCGAGGCCCCTCTCCTTGTACACCGAGTTAACAAGCGACAAAACGAGCTTGCAGTCTAAGGGACGAGGGAGCGCCTCTAGGTCAGCAATGGCAGCAGCCTCCAAGGCTGTCAACTGAAGGTTTCCCGACCCGTGAAACCTGGCTGGTGCTTGCCGCCAATAAAGAGGGAACCTCGGCAGCCCGCCAAAGTAAAATACCCCATCTTCCAGCGGGTTCACATCCACGAGCCGAAGCCGGAAAAACTCTTGCTTGAAATTTTTGTAAGACTGGGAGTAGAGAGAAAATAATCCCCTAGCCTTACTGTCGTTCAAAGAAGCCCAACCATAAGGGGGTACACCCATCTTCAGTTGGTAAAAATGAAGAAAGACAGGGAGAGATACCTCTATCCCTAGGGTCGAGCATAGAACCTGAAAGGCCCTCAAAAAACCCCAACTGTTGGGGTGCAACTGGCAAGGAGCCGAGTTGACAAAATTTAAAAAATCACATTCAAATTGGGTAAAGGGAAGGCGTACGCCTAAATCCCTGAAAAAGCATTGGTACATATAAAAGAAAGGAGGGTTAGAGGGACCCCCCATATAGACGCTGTAGATGTGATATATAATGTGAAATCAGCATACAAGATGGTGATTAATGATGGTATCTACACAGATTTTCCGCTTCATAAATTTCTCTGGTCTAGTTGTGTACCGTCTAAAGTATCAGGTTTTGCTTGGAAGGCCTTGCTGAATAGAATACCAAGTAAATGTAACTTAATTAAGCAGAAGGTTCTTAATATTTCTGCTAGTGGATGTGCTTGGTGTGGTGAAGATTTGGAGAATACCTTTCACCTTTTATTCGGATGTTATTATGCCTATTCTGTATGGTTATCTATTTTTGATTGGTTTGGTGTTTCAACAGTTTTACACAATTCCTGTCATGAAAAATTTGCTCATTTTATTGGAGTTCCTAGATGCAATGGTAGAGATAGGATGAGGTGGTCTATGGTTTGGTTAGCCACAATTTGGTCTCTGTGGCTTGCTATAAATGATGTCATTTTTAAAGACAAGGTGGTGACAATTACGGATTTAGTGGAATTAATCAAACTACGTAGCTGGAATTGGATTAAGACCAAAGATAAGTCATTTTTTTACCCATTCTCAGTGTGGTTTTCTTCCCCCGATGTTTGCCTTAACTTCTGGAATAATGATTATTTCTGATTCTGTACACACCATGGTGTTAGTTTTGTATCTGATTTTTTGATTACTGAACTTGTTTGATTATTAGATGACATTTTAAGGTCCTAGTTTTGTAATGGTGGTAGACATTACAATCTGGTTATTACCTTTTGTATGAATTATGTCAGATTTTGTTTAGGTGACTCTGTATTTTGTAATTGGTTGGAGTACCCCTTGTACTCCTCTTAATTTATTTTGCTTATAAAAAAAAAAAAACTTAGATGAATTTATTTTTGGATAAGTTAAGTTTAGTTTTTTTAACATCTGCCATAGTTTAGTTTTAAATTTAGTGTAGATAATTTTTATATTTTATAAATTAAAAAATAATATCATTAAACAAAATGCTTTCTAACAAATTAAATTAAACCAAATAGAACTACTTTATAAAATTAATTTGATTGATTGGATTTTTTTCTCAAAGCGATTTAATAAAAAAAAAATATTATTATTGTTATCTTGATTAAGATTGGCAGTTTCAATAGTTAAATTCCAGGAAAAAAAATGCGATTAAAATATAGTTATAAGTTTTAAAATGCATTTTACTTTATTTAGTGGAAGCAAATCTGATTTATTTATTTAGGAGGAATGCAGAGATTGATTGGAACAAGCAAGCAAAATACGACATACGACGAATTGAATTTGTTTCTTATTCTTCTTCTTCTTCTTCTCCCTTTGTCTTTCCGTCTTCACCAGAAGCTCCTTTCTCTGTTCCTAAGCCGAGTTAAGGGGTCAAATTGAAACCGCATTCAATTCCGACTTAATGTTGCATTCTCTCTTCCTTTTCCCTCTCGCTTTTCTCACAAGCCACTGAAAATCCTCGCACCTTTGCCCACAAAACTTTAACAGAAACACCGTTTTTCGCCGCAATTCCTCACCCCCATGGAAGGTATTGTCTTTTCTTCTTCAACTTTGGCCTCATCACGGATTTGGGTATTTGATTTAGTGCTTGATTTTTCTCAGATTACTTCAATTTTCGTGCTTTGAAATTGATGGTTGGAACCCATAATATGGATTGTTTGCATTAGGGTGTTGTGATGGTGGGTATGGCTCCAAGGTCTTCAATTTGGGGTATTTGGGGTCTCGAAAAGTGAGTCAAACTGAAGGGTTCAAATGGGGTTTGATTGATTTTGATCTTAATTGAAATTTAGTATTTCATGTCTTCATACATTATTGTCTTCCTCCTTTTGTTTTTTCTATGGATTGGAGGAGTTTTTGTTTGCTCTGTCAATGGCCATTATCCGGTGTCTAAGTTTGGATCTACTTTCGATGTGGAATGTGTTGAATTGGCCCTTTGTTTCTATTGTTGATCTTCTTCTTTCATTTGCACTTGGTGTTGATTAGCACAAATCACGGGTTCTTCGTCAAAGACTGTAAGATTATAAACTTTTTTAAAAAAAAAAAATTGCTTAGTTGACATTAAAACTTTATAGAAATAAGGAACAGGTAACTGATCGGTTGCAAGTAATGAGTTGGTTGTATCGAAGTTTTATCATATGACAAATGATATCGATGCTAGTGTATAGAATACATTGATATCTTAGAATAGGCATCAATACTTATGATGAACAGATTTCTCTTCCCCCTCTCCAAAATTTGATTTATTTGGTTGTCCTCTTCCCTGATCATTTTAACTGCACAATACTCACTCTTGGAGTTGCAGCTCCCTTCTGCTTTATGATGGGGATTGAATTACATCTAAACAGATGTTATTTAGGATATTAATTTTGATTTCATACTTAGGGTAATTAGTTTGTGTTATCTTTTAGATTTGATTATCATTATCTTATATTTAAGATTATTTTATTTAGTTGGTCTATATATAGACCCCATAGTAGACCTTTTGCAGGTTTTTGCAATTGAATAGTAGCAATTTCTTTTAGAGAGTATCTGAGTTGAGTTGGAGGAATACTCAGTATCTGAAGGAAGTACTCTATGATTTCTTTTATCTTCCTCATACCCCATCACCTTGATATGTTAACCAAATCATACAGTTTAAGCTACACATGTGAATAATCCGTGAGCTCTATCATTATTCTGCTTTATGTAAAAGATACAGTCTACCTTCTGGCTCCATGTCACTGCTACTATGCTGATTGTTGACTTATGATAAATGATAAATTATGTTAAAATGGGACTGGACAGTAGTTTCAATACACTCACAAATTGCAATTCAGCAATTTGATGTTAGCAGGTCTTGCATCATTGCATTTACTAAGAGCTCAGGGACTTACTAAGATAGGATCATGAAATTCGTTACCTATGTGAAATTGTTATTGAAGGATCTATAATATCCTGACAGCTCCCAAATTATGCATTCTCCTTAAAACTTTTTTTTTTAATTGCAAAATCATTCTCTTACAATTATTTGATCAAATCATCTCGCTTATTGATTCAATATTTTAGGAAAGAGACTTTCAGGTTCTTGTCAACATTCACATGTGTAACTTGACTTCAATTGCTAGTGCATGCATCCTTTTCCATGTTGTGATCACTGTTCAACACTTCAGCATATATTTGTATCTTTTGATTCCATAACATTTGTGGATCAATTTGAGCTGTTAATATAACATATGATGTTTCTTGATTGTTTTGTCTTCTTGCATACATTATTATAATTATTTTTTTTCCCATACTAACACATGTAGTAAACTTCCTGTTTTTTCTGTTGGTGTTTAGAATCAAGTGAATTGCAATCAGAAGAAAATAAAGTCTCCAATGAGAAAAATAAGAAAAGAAAACTGAAAACACCGGCCCAACTTTTGGCCTTGGAGAAATTTTATAATGGTAAGAATACTTTTTTTGTCATATATATGGGTGTCAATGCAAAAATAGTAATTTTTGAGGATTTTTATTTTTTATTTTTACCTTTGTCTCCAGAGAAAAAGTATCCCACAGAGGAAATGAAATCAGAACTTGCTGATGAGTTAGGATTGACAGAAAAGCAAATATCTGGATGGTTCTGCCACAGAAGGTTAAAAGATAAAAGAATGATGAAAGATGAAGCCGTTGCTAATGGACGGCAAGATCGTTCAAGCGGTGTCATCCAGGATCGTGGCAGTGGACTTGGGCAAGATTCATGTGGAAGCAGTAAACATGCTGATTACAGGTACTTGGATCCTAAGGAGGTTGAGAGCCATGGCCTCTACAATCACGAATTTTCAGTTGCAGATATGACTCATGGACGTAGGAGCCGTTATCCTGAAAATGTTAGCGGAGTGGATGAGACATCATCTGAGAGCAGCTCATATTTGCAAGAAAGGTTGTTTTCTCAAGGTCAGGATCCATATGATATGGAGCATTCTAGACATCTTACACCTAATGGAGCTCTTCCACCTCTAAATCCCAAAGGTGCCCTTAACATGGGATATAAACCATCAGGATATTTAAAAGTGAAGGGAGAGATAGAACATGCTGCTATAACTGCTGTTAAGAAGCAATTAGGAAGGCATTATCTGGAAGATGGTCCAGTACTTGGTATAGAGTTTGACACACTTCCTCCAGGGGCATTTGAGTGCCAAACTGCAGATCCAGCTAATGGTAGGTTGCACCACATTCTATTTTTCCATTTTTTTTTTAAATGTCTCATTCAATTAGTTTGGTAAGACTGAAATGTTTAGTGTTGAAAATGAAACAATATAATTTGCCATTTTGGGTTAAAGTAATGTGTTGTTGCTCATTAAGTTGTGAAAAAAAAATTATATGCAAGTATTAAAGATAGAACTGGGTGTGATAGGGGATGGGTTGTTTCAAGAACAGTAAATAAGTGTTTTCCACCTAACCTGCATCATGTTTGTATGCTATGCATTGGGATGATTTAGATGCTTTTTAGGGAATTCAAGCAGATGTCTCCTCAGTACTGATACCAATAAGGTCAATGACAATCTCATGATGTTATTTATAAGGTATATATATTAAGAGTACTTGTCAAAAGTTAGTCCCTACCCTTAAGCCAGTGTTTATATGTTATGAGGCTTTTGATATGAAATTTTAGCATCAGAACCAAGTTACCTTAAGAAGTTTACAAAAGCTACAAAGTTTAGTTCCTATATGTAAGTCATTTATCTTTTTTACCTTTACCTGCTGTCTCACTTTTTTATTTGCTTGATATGTATTTGCCCAACACACAACCATGGAGGAAATTGCAATTTTGTTACCCTTAAATGGAGAACTTACTCATAAAGATCGATGCTGCATTTTAAGGTTCATAGCACTGGGGCTTTTTATGTTAATCTGTGTGCAGTGTGCTATTTTATATGTTTCGGACCTTTAGGTCAAGATAGCTTATTTTTTTCTCTTTGGATGCTTTACTATAAATATTTCATCGTAGCTAAGGTGTGAGAGTTTTATTCTCTTTCATTAACTCTATATCATTTTTCTAACTGCATCCAGTCATTTTAAGAATAGATTGAGATTCCTGCATTTATAATCTGATGGATTCTATGGCAGAACATATTTTATTTTAATGTGATATATATATATATGTTATTTATTTATTCATTAACTAATAATCCTGGATTTTCATAGCTCTGGAACGGGCCGTTCCACTTTAGGAACGGGCCGTTCCAAATCAGGAATGCATGGGTAAAATTTTAACCCAGAATGGGCCGTTCCAATTTGGGAACGGGACGTTTCGGATGTGATTTTAAAAGAACAAAGTTTGACTCAGAACGGGTCGTTCCACAATGAAACGGGTCGTTCCGGAAATCCCAGAACGGGTCGTTCTGGTTTTGGAACGGGCCGTTCTGGGAGAGGCTTTTGTACCTATTCCATCTGCCCAGAACGGGTCGTTCCGGATTCGGAACGGGCCATTTTCAAATTTTTTAAAAATTTACAAATTTGATCTATGTATTAAAAACTTTAAATTAAACTGTTGGATCGTTAAAATTTGATGTAGAATATGAGTTATTGAACGGAGTAAGTCTAGGTAGACTTATTCCTGTAATAAAAGGATCCCCCCCCTCCCTCTCACCTAAACATTATCATCATTGTCACTAACACCTCATTATTGTTACTATTATTATTGTTACGGTCAACATGATTATTACCACTACCATCAAACATTATTTGATCTAAATCAAATAAATAACAAAATAAGACAATAACATTATTTGTTATGCAATAAATATCGGATAAAATTGATATTTATTTTTCTCTTATCCTGATACATTTTTAACTTGCTCTATATGGATAAAAAAAATAATTTTCATCATACCTTTTCATATTTTGACCGTTAAATGAATATTTAATGTACGAAGAATTTTAAAGAGTAAATAATTATTGGTCATGCAAAACATTTAAAAAGCAAGCGCGCAATTACGCGTTTTAGAAATATTTATTTGCTAATTGAAATTCTTATCGTCAACTCTTTACTCCCCTTTCTTTAAGATAACATTTGTTGATTATACATTGGAAGTTTTCCGATCTTCGCGGAGTCAGAATAATCTCTCGTAGAATTCAAAGATATATGTGGAGTAAGAATGACATTTGTTTTTCAAAATGTATTTTTTTTTTTAATTAAGAGGAATAAATCATTTCTATCGGTCTACACCCATAAAAATAAAATTATTCTAAATTCTATAAAAAGACTTTCATTCATAATTTTATTTCTAAATCAAGATTAAACCACGATTTCTGATACAAGTAATTCTAACAACTTTTTTTAGTTTTTAATTTTTTTAATGAAAGTCATAATGTTCCAAAACTCACCATCAATAATTAATGTGCGCTCACATGGTATGACTTGTTGGTTAAACATTATTTAAAAAAATATATTTAATATGTAATTCCAAATTATTAAATCAAAATTTAATACAATATTTTGGATAATATATTAAAATTTGAATTATAATAATCACTAATCACTTTATATACAAAAGAAATTATATTTTGATTTCCTATATATATATATATAAGGAGAGATCCTTTTACTTCAGGAGTAAGTCTACCTAGACTTACTTCGTTCAATAACTTATATTCTACATCAAATTTTAACGATCCAATCGTTCAATTTAAAGTTCTTAATGCATAGATCAAATCTACAAGTTTTTAGAAAATTTGAAAATCATTTAATACTTCATTTCATTAATTCAAATTGACGGATAATCATAAAATCATTTTATATATACATTGATTTGAATTAATGAAACTCAGTATCAAATGATTTTCAAATTTTTTAAAAATTTACAAATTTGATCTATGTATTAAAAACTTTAAATTAAACTGTTGGATCGTTAAAATTTGATGTAGAATATGAGTTATTGAACGGAGTAAGTCTAGGTAGACTTATTCCTGGAATAAAAGGATCCCCCCCCTCTCTCTCTCTCTCTCTCTTAAGTTTATGAATGTGAACTCTTCACCCTTACGTGGTTGGGAATTTGAATTTTATTGATGAAAATTTTTATTTGTTTATAATTATTGTATATGTATGTTGGGGTAGAGGGTGTCACAGCCACCTCCTCCTCTTGAGGCTCGGGGACCTCAATCTCGGTGACGTTGTAGCGCGATTTCAACTCGCACCACTTGTTTTTGCCCATTATACCTACAAGTACAACAATCAGATACGTCAGTAAAAGCAAAAATTCCCAAGCCCTTAACAGCCAAAAAGACAAGATACTCACTCTCTAGGCCCCTTTCCTTGTACACTGAGTTAGCAAGCGACAAAACGAGCTTGCAGTCCAAGGGACGAGGGAGCGCCTCTAGGTCGGCAATGGTAGCAGCCTCCGAGGCTGTCAACTAAAGGTTGCCCGACCCGTGAAACCTGGCTGGAGCTTGCCGCCAATAAAGAGGGAACCTCGGCAGCCCGCCGAAGTAAAATACCCCATCTTCCAGCGAGTTCACTTCCACGAGCCGAACCCGAAAAAACTCTTGCTTGAAATTTTTGTAAGACTGGGAGTAGAGAGAAAATAATCCCCAGCCTTACTGTCGTTCAAAGAAGCCCAACCATAAGGGGGTACACCCAGCTTCAGTTGGTAAAAATGAAGAAAGACAAGGAGAGATACCTTTATCCCTAGGGTCGAGCATAGAACTTGAAAGGCCCTCAAAAAATCCCAACTATTGGGGTGCAAATGGCAAGGAGCCGAGTTGATAAAATTTAAAAAATCACATTCAAGTTGGGTAAAGGGAAGGCATACGCCTAAATCCCTGAAAAAGTATTGGTACATATAGAAGAAAGGAGGGTTAGAGGGACCCCCCATATAGACGCGCTCACCAGGCTGGCACGGTTCCATCCGGATAAGCTTGGAAAGAGAGGATTCATAGATCCTATGCGATTTCCACATTGCATTGATCTCCATAAACGACCTGAAGATGCTCTGAAATTCCCCCACGTCACTCCTAACCCAGTCGTAGCCAAGAATGTCGGGGAGAGGTTCCTTAGGCTGGCTCTCCCCTCCCTTCTTTTCGGCGGCGCCCGTCCCGGCAGCCACCGCGTTGTCGCGCGCCTTACCCTTGCCTTTGGCAGGCGCAGAGGGGGCGACATCCTTGTTACCAGCCATCAAGAAAATCAAAAGATTTGAAAAGAAGGAGAAAAGATTTCAGAAGAGGGAGAAGTTTGAAAGAGAGAAGTACCTGGTACTCCTCTGACAAATGAAAAGACAGAAATGAGAGGAGGGAAACTCGGTTGCTGGAGAAGGCGACGGAGGAAAATGGAGATGGCAGAAGCAGGAAGGCAAAGAAAATCGGCATGCTCAAGAAGCCAGAGAGGAAAAAGAACACAAAGAGTAAAGTGGAAGGAGAAGAGGCGCGAGAGCGAGAAAAGGGGTTCTCCAAAATTGAAACGGCCACAATACGTGTCAGCCAAGGGACAAAACTGGCGACACATTTAATGAGCCCCATTATGACGAGCACAAGTCATCATTGCGTAACCGTCACTTCCCACTAATGCGCCGCCCACGCGTTATGGGAACGAGGTGACAGTTTCGACACATGGCAGTATGGCAAGGAAGAGTACGCGAAGAGTCACGGCTCCCCTCCAAGCTTGGCATTAACTCCTCGACCCACGGTCTTCAGAGCTCGGGGGGCTAGTATACTATCCGTACCGCGAAGCCGAGCTCCAAGCTCGGCATCACAGCACAGAATGACCTCGGACACGCGCTGGGAGACCTCGACTAAGACGAGGTCCGTTACCTAAATAGGTCATAACTAATCTCAGGCCCAAGGCCCAACGAAACCATAATTCACACTAAGGTACGTGCATTACTTATACGAGACTCATACACCCACAAACACTAACTTTAGCATCGGAGTCTCTTTTGCAGGTACCACCCCCATCTTGGAACATCAAATGTACCAGTGAAGGAGGCTCGCCGATCTTACCCAGCAGATCGTCCCCTACGACCGATCTCCGGTAAGAATAATATACATTTCAAAATATATTAAAATATGAGCACTTTGATTTCCTTCAAGTTGTTGTTCAATTTTAACAAAATTTGATATAAACATATAAAGTGATATGAACTTTCAATCTAACGGTTGAATTTACAAAATTCACATTTAATATAAAGTTATTGAATAGTGTAATACTTAGTAAAAGTTATACCAGTATTATTATAACCCTTCTCATTTTGAAATATAAAAATTATTATTTAAAATATTAAATTTATAATAGATAATTTAAATTGTATCATAATATTAATTTTAAATAGAAATAAGTAGATTGTTAATTATAAAAATAAGTATATATATAAATAAAGATTAATTAAATATAATATAATTATTATTATTAGTAATATAATTATTATATATATTATTATATATTATAACGGTCTAGACACATTGAAATGAGAAAGATCCAAAGATAGTATAAGTTGAGATTGTATAGTTGAGGATGACTTAAATGAATTAATTTGTGTTACTTATACTAACAACATGCATCTACTTTTCGGTAGCTTATCTCATAAGAACTCCATTGTTTAGCGTGCTTGACTTGGAGTAATATAGGGATGGGTGACTTTCTGGGAAGTTTCCAAAAAATTGTGTAATTAAGGAAAAAACATGCTGAAAAGTGAAGTATTGTGAAATAGAATCCTTGAGAGGCCAAATATGAGTGTTTCGCAGCGACCGAATTTGCGACGTCTATAAAATTTAATAAAATAAAAAATAAATCTTTAGCAACTGATTTATTCGGTCACTAATTTGGTCCCCATACACATCAACGACCAAAATCATTGCAACCATTTTGAGACCAAAATTTTCGGTCGCTAAACAGCGACCAAAATTTTCGGTCGCTAAACCAAAATTTTAAAAAAAATTTGGTCGCTATATAGCTTTGCGACTAGGGTTTTTGCGACTACTTAAATTTGGTTGCTAATTCGGTCTCTAAGATAAATAACGACCGATTTTAACAATTTAGCGACTGATTTTGGTGGTTGCTAAATGCAATTTTTTTTGTAATGAATTAGGATTGACGATAATAATAAAAAGTGACTTCATTAGGATTAAAATCCATAATGTTCACTACAAGCTTCACATTATTTAAACTATTAAGTCATCTATCATTTTGAGCTATAACATGAACATAGTATTTTATATATATAACATTATTACATGATTTAAATTTTTTTTTAAAATTTCTTATTTAATGTTAATTCTAGTTTAAAATTAATAAATAATAATTTTTAATAAAATAATAAAAATTTAGTAAATAACATATATAATTTATCATTTAATATATATACTTTTATATATGCAATAAATATAAACATACAATTCCTTTTATTTCTCATTTCTTTTTTAACTTAATTTTTCTCATTTTTTTAATACATCACTTAAGTTATATTATTTATTTAATAATAAAAAATTATATTATTTATTGTATAAAATATATTAAATAATAAATATACTAATATTGCATTATTTATACTACCCACAATGATTTTACCTGACTCATAATATTATTTCATATGGAAGATACATGTGATCTTTAAGAAAAATCTATTATTTACTTTATCATAATAACTCTTTATCCCTCCTTCTTGCTCACCACTCGTCACAATTATTTCCATTATTATCATTGTCACTAGAATCAATCGATTGTTTGTCATCATTACTACTATTTTGATAATGTCATCGACATCAATTTCACCATCACCATTATTATTATTTGTCATTACAACCTTTATCACAACCTCCTCAATACTTTTGTTGTCATCGTCACCACTCTTATCATCATCATGATTATTAACACTAATACCATCATTATTTTTATTGTCATTGTCACTATCATTGTCATCACACTTATCACAATGGTGATAACTAATAATATGATTATCATCATCATTGTTACAACTATATATATCTTCATATTGTAGCCATTGTTGCTAACATATCATTGTCATCACCTAAACATTATCATCATTGTCACTAACACCTCATTATTGTTACTATTATTATTGTTACGGTCAACATGATTATTACCACTACCATCAAACATTATTTGATCTAAATCAAATAAATAACAAAATAAGACAATAACATTATTTGTTATGCAATAAATATCGGATAAAATTGATATTTATTTTTCTCTTATCCTGATACATTTTTAACTTGCTCTATATGGATAAAAAAAATAATTTTCATCATACCTTTTCATATTTTGACCGTTAAATGAATATTTAATGTACGAAGAATTTTAAAGAGTAAATAATTATTGGTCATGCAAAACATTTAAAAAGCAAGCGCGCAATTACGCGTTTTAGAAATATTTATTTGCTAATTGAAATTCTTATCGTCAACTCTTTACTCCCCTTTCTTTAAGATAACATTTGTTGATTATACATTGGAAGTTTTCCGATCTTCGCGGAGTCAGAATAATCTCTCGTAGAATTCAAAGATATATGTGGAGTAAGAATGACATTTGTTTTTCAAAATGTATTTTTTTTTTTAATTAAGAGGAATAAATCATTTCTATCGGTCTACACCCATAAAAATAAAATTATTCTAAATTCTATAAAAAGACTTTCATTCATAATTTTATTTCTAAATCAAGATTAAACCACGATTTCTGATACAAGTAATTCTAACAACTTTTTTTAGTTTTTAATTTTTTTAATGAAAGTCATAATGTTCCAAAACTCACCATCAATAATTAATGTGCGCTCACATGGTATGACTTGTTGGTTAAACATTATTTAAAAAAATATATTTAATATGTAATTCCAAATTATTAAATCAAAATTTAATACAATATTTTGGATAATATATTAAAATTTGAATTATAATAATCACTAATCACTTTATATACAAAAGAAATTATATTTTGATTTCCTATATATATATATATAAGGAGAGATCCTTTTACTTCAGGAGTAAGTCTACCTAGACTTACTTCGTTCAATAACTTATATTCTACATCAAATTTTAACGATCCAATCGTTCAATTTAAAGTTCTTAATGCATAGATCAAATCTACAAGTTTTTAGAAAATTTGAAAATCATTTAATACTTCATTTCATTAATTCAAATTGACGGATAATCATAAAATCATTTTATATATACATTGATTTGAATTAATGAAACTCAGTATCAAATGATTTTCAAATTTTTTAAAAATTTACAAATTTGATCTATGTATTAAAAACTTTAAATTAAACTGTTGGATCGTTAAAATTTGATGTAGAATATGAGTTATTGAACGGAGTAAGTCTAGGTAGACTTATTCCTGGAATAAAAGGATCCCCCCCCTCTCTCTCTCTCTCTCTCTCTCTCTATATATATATATATATATATATATATATATATATAATTTAATCAATATATATATTTGCTTTAAAAAGTGTTAAATTCACGTGTTTCATGGATATTCCTTTAGTACTAACTAGCAGCACTAGATTAATTCAACCGAAGTTTATGTTGCTGTCATAAATTCAAGTCAAATTGAGTATACTTATTATTAAAAAGATTATAAAAAATGACGCCTTTTTTTAATTTTATGTTTTTCCACTTAGAAGATTCAAATTGACACCCTTCTTAAAATACTAAAACAAAATTCCCTGTACCACATATAATATATAAACCAACGTACACATGCCTTTAAGCCTTTACACAATTTTCCACATTCACATAAAAATGTGGTAGAACTCAAAACAAGAGAAACATTCCGAATATGAACTCTATTAATTTTTTCTTCTAAATTCGGTCAACTGTGTTCTGTGGTCTGCTTTTTACATCTAGAAATTTCGAACTAAGTGGGATGCTTTCTCTTTTAACGGAGAACCTAAGTGGGTTGTTACTATTCAAATATTTTTAGTCAACTTTGTTTCCTATTTGTCATAATTAGTGGTCAGACTTTGAATGTCAACTCGTATTTGAGGCACTAGAAATTTTGACGGTTTCATGCATGACGATAAAACATTTAAGTCCATAGACGACGGTGTTGCTCTCTTAACGGGTCATACAAGTTATTGGGTCAACTCACGTTGTTACGATGTATAAACTATGCCTCCATCTAGGTCATCTAAATCATATATATACATTTACCTCTTCCAATTTCAAACCCATCAGCAATATCAATTGATGCTTTGCACTTCTTCATCTATATTTATCATACTTATACAACTCAATTTATATAATAGCTAGAGCTATATTCTTACTTATGCAACTGAATTTATCCTAAGGTGAAGCTTTTGGAAGTCTTTGTTTATATTGTGATTACATCAGCTACAAGTAAAATCACAATCGTGATTGCAATACAAAATCTTAATGTTATATATTTTTTCTTTCACGGGTATTTTTTGACCTATTGGATCTTAAATTATCTGTTCACGATATTGTGATTATCGTTGATTAGAAGAGTTTTCGATCGAGGCATTAAAGAAGGTGTGTTACCACTTGAAAGTTATCTTGATCGCACTTGTAGCTGCATTTGTCTATTGTTTCTTGCAATATTAAGGATCATAGCGAAAATCACCTTGACCTCAACCTCAACCTCAAATTGAAACCTTGCTTTTGATTACATGATGGACAAGATGAGTCAATATGTACGTGTGTTCAATCACTTTGATGAGAATGGAGACGGCAAGATATCACCATCGGAGTTGCGGCAATGTGTGGAGGCGGTCGGCGGCGAGTTGTCGTTGGAGGAGGCGGAGGCGGTGGTGGAGCTTCTAGACTCGGACAAGGACGGGTTAGTGGGGTTGGACGATTTTGTGAGGTTTGCGGAGGAAGGGGAGGAGGAAGAGAAAGTGAAAGACCTAAGAGAGGCTTTTAAGATGTATGAAATGGAGGGGTGTGGTTGCATCACGCCAAAGAGTCTCAAGAGGATGCTTGGGAGATTGGGAGAGTGCAAGAGCATAGATGAGTGTAAAGTTATGATCGCTAGATTTGACCTAGATGGGGATGGGGTACTTAGTTTTGATGAATTTAGGGTCATGATGTTGTAACATTACCTTAATAGTTCATTGCTTCTTTACTAGTTTGCTTTGGCTTTTGGCCATGTGTTAGGATTTAGGAACAACATACGCCATCATGTGTGTGTACCTATATATATAGGGTACCCTTTTGTTGGCAGATTTTATTGGAATTAATTGATACTTGAGGAAGTTGAAAAATTAATGTTTGATCGTCTCTGCATTTTTATTGCCTCCATTTTCCATTTTTTTTCTTCTTATGTGTTATTCATTCTTTAGATCGATGACGCATTTCAAACTTAATCTAGGTTTTATATCCACGATGAATCATTCAATTGTAGGTTTCAGCACTAAAATTCTTGTTCGAAGCTTCAGGTTTGTTGTATAATTGAGTTTTGAAAACGCAACGTCTTGTTAAACGAAGGGGTATTCCAAACTGAGTAAACCTCCACCTTCATTCCCATATATGCCTAACCATGGTTTTAAATTGCGGTTGCAGTCGCAGTTATAGTTACTGCAGTTACGGGTATTGCAAGAATTACAATACGGATTGCAATTGTTGTGGTGTAAAATTATTAATTATTTACACTAAATATAAAAAATTGTAATTATCGATATATATTTTATTTTTAAAGATTTATACATTTTTTTCCTTTTTTTTAAACATTATATTATTTTAATAAATAATTTAATTTATTTTAAAATTAATTTAAAAGCAAGAGAAACACAATAGTGATTAGATTAATTCCCACTTAATATTTGTGTTAGATTTATGAGATTTTTCTTTATTTAAATTTTGAATTTTGAATAAATTTTAGATAAGATATATGTTATTGTTACAGTTTTATGTATTATATTTTATTTTCAGTTATTCAATATAATCTCAACAAGTAAAGTTGTTAGTAGATGAGATTTGTTAGGAATTTTAAATTGATTGTAAGCCTATACATAGGCATCCTCTTCTATGAATTTTAATGGTAATTTAATGATAGTTTTCCATCTTCAATTTTAATTTTAATTTGTCTGCAAGATCCAATTTTTCTATATTTTTTCACAAAATATTTCCAACAAGTGGTACCAAGAGCTTGCTTCTTACGGGCTATGAGGAAAAAGTTTATTGAGCGCTAAACACATTGAGGTTGAGTGCAAACACTAAATTGGGTGATTTATTGTTCAAACAATTTTTGGTGCAAGGATGTCTACTTCCACCAATTCACCAGTAATTCCAATGTTTAATGGTGAAAATTATCATATTTGGGCCGTCAAGATGAAATTTGTTTTAAGATCTTAAGGTTTATGGAATGTTGTAATTTCTGAAGCTGATCCACCACCATTGAGAGAAAATCCAACCATTGCACAAATCGAAGCTTATGAGGAGGAGAAGCTTATGTGGGACAAGATTCAAGATGAATTTGAAGGCAGTAGTAGAGTCAAATCTATTAGGCTTCTCACATTGAAGAGATAATTTGAATTGATGAAGATGAAGCATAATGAATCTGTTAAAGATTATTCTGGCAGATTAACGGATGTTGTGAACCAAATGCGACTTCTTGGTGAAACATCATTTATAGATCAAAAGGTTGTCAAAAAAATCATGGTTTCGGTGTGCCCGAAAGATTTGAAGCCAAGATTTCTGCAATTGAAGAGTCTTGTGATTTGCAAACTCTCACAATTACTGAATTGACCAGCAAGCTTCACGCACAAGAGCAAAGAGTCTCCATTAGAAGTGATGAAGTTGTTGAAGGTGCCTTTCGAGCAAAGCACAATGGAAGGAATTTTGGAAAGTCACGAACTTTCAATAAGAACAAAGGAAAAGATGAAGGTTCTTCAAAAAAAGGAAATTTTTTGCCCTGCTTTCATTGCCAAAGAACCAACCATTCTAAAGAAGCTTGTTGGTTTAAAGATAAACCACTTTTTCACTATAATTTTTGCAATAAAAATGGTCATAGTAAAATGTATTGCAGATTAAAGAAGAATCAGCTTGAACAACAATTAGAAAAATAAGCAAATGTGATTGAAGAAAAAAATGATGATGAAGATGAGTATTTATTTATGGCATCTCAAGAAATCAATTCACATGAATTGAATACTTGGCTCATTGACAGTGGTTGCACTAGTCACATGACTAAATATTTATCATTTTTTACCTCCATTGACAAATCAATTAAGCCAAAAGTCAAGATGTGGGAAATGGTGAAATTGTACAAGAAAATGGAAAAGGTACAATTTCTATTGCAACCAAGAAAGG